TGATGATTTTCCATTGACATTGACATTGGGTTTTCATGTTAAGCTTAAATGGTTAACAAACATTTTCACTGAACTCAACCAGCTTCACAGCAATTCCCAAGGATGAAGAAAGGCTAGTATTATTTCAAATTATCATTTTACTTCAATTTGTATATCATTTTATGATTCTTATAATTTATATTTTTCTAATAATTGTTTTATTTTTTGAATTCCAGCTCCCAACACAGGCTAACCATCCATAAAGCCCTTCTCTCTCTCTCAAATTCTTTTCTGTGTTGTGCTCCTATAAATGAAATGAATAAAAGCCAGCTCAGGAAATGTTGTTTTTAGTGTTGCTAAACATTTGGATTTATTGAGCCTGGCTTTCATTCATTTCATTCATTATAGGAGCACAACACAGAAGAAATTTGAGAGAGAGAAGGGTTTTATGGATGGTAAGCCTGTGGTCCCAAGGATGAAAAAGGCAAGTAGATTTTTATTATCAATCTTTAAACTATATCATCAATTGTGCTTGTTTTTCTTTTGTTATCAAAAACACTAACACTTGGTTCGTTTTTTTTTCTCCACTTCTTGATTTTCCTGACTGGGAGGTGATGTTTTCCAGTGTGAAAAGTCTTGGTGATGACTTGGCCTTCCTGAAAACACTATATACACTGGTTTGCACAGTAGCTAAAGGTGGAATATTTGTAGATCAGAGTGTTTCCTGTAGTACTTTCAAGAAAAATAAATGTTTTTTGCCTTTTTGATTACATGCTTTTTTAGTCTTTTGGGGGCAATTAAATTTTCTAAAAATGCATGAAATGGCCTTTAGAGAGCTCCAAATTTCAAATTTTCTCGGGGGGGCATGCCCCCAAACCCCCCTAGCAGGAGTGGGTCCTCGGGTGGAAACTACTCACTCAAAATCCTGGATCCACCCCTGTCAAGTGTCTGTCATTAGAATCTATCTTGCAGTTCTAAGTTCTTAAGAGGAACGCGATCGACGTAAAACGCTTGGTAGCCGCCCTATATTCGAAATCGGTTGCGTGGGCTCAACGTTTTAACGGTTCCGAAAATGGGGTTTATATTCTTCATGAAGTATGTACCAGGGCTGAGTTAGGATTTGACCTTCTTTCGATCTCATATGAGGAAGAAGATTTCAGCGGCTAATAATGCCTTCCGCTCCAAGAGGACATTCAGATCTGAGTTCATATCGAGTGATTCAATTGGTATACTTGGAGTGTCAGGTGGGTTCTTGTTACAGTAATTTAGTGTCAACCGATCGAAGGAAGCTGGCATCAGTAAGATGAGGTCCAAGAAACTGAATACTGCTTGATCGGACTTCTCCTTCGTTGGAAACATGCTGTTAACAAAGCTGTTGGAAGAAAGTGCTCTTCAGCAACTGATTAAACCCTGTTCATACTGTACTGATTGCAGGACTGGTAAATTGAATTTTAGTACTTGTTGCAGAGCTCGAGGTTGAGATAAATTTCAACTGAATGGTGGCACATTATATGATACCCTGGGTGGCGGTACAAAATCTTTACTTGTATCCATACAGGAAAAATTTAGTCCTCTCCGAAAAACGCTCAAACGTATGCGCATTTGCGGACGTGCTAGTGACTAAGTGGTGTGCTTTCAGGCTGACAGTAGAAATTTTTATAAACCATTCTGCCCGATGGGTAAGTATAGTTTGAGCTAAGGAGAAAATTGGATTGAGTCAGAGTGACATCCAGAAAAGGATTTAGGTAGTTGTTTCACAGCTGGCTAACTGTTTGTGGTAAACTGTTCATAGAGGTGCTAATGTAATGTTAACAACTACGCTTTCAGATTATAAAGCTTCTGAAAGCAAAATATGGTTTAAAGGTACGGTTGGGAAAACATCACAAGGAAAATACCACATTGATATAGTTTCACGAACTTCGGTTTATGAGGAAAGAATTGAACTGAAATAACGTTCAATTAATAGCATTGAGAATTAATTTTTTTAGCTGGCTTCCGCTGGCGACACGCGATTTATCATTTATTTATTGGGTATTCAACGCCACTTAATTTGTGCAATTATGGAAATTTCTTTCCTAACAACAAAAGAAATTAGAATCTATTGGAGTGCTGAACTGAAAGCCTTCCCTCGCGGTACTTTCGTCACAAATTGCCACTGTTAAAGGAAACAAATGAAATGCTTTCCTCGTGAATAAATAATGTACGTTCTGATACCATAACTTGGTATGAAAATAAATAAACATGTCCTTGTTGAATTTCCTTAACAGTTTTTTGCATTAAACCCAAACAATATTTGTCTTCTACAAGCTGATGAAAACCGCAAAATTCGTTTGACGTCGAACAGTAATCATATTGTAATCACAAAATGAACTTCACTCTACAAGTTCGAATAGGCGTGCTGTTCAGCAGAAAATCGAACATTTTTGAGGTATTAAAACATCTGAATATCTTTGTATGTCGTTTGGCGTGGCTTCAAAAGTTCAGATAATAAATATTCTTCCACGAGTAGAGCATTAAAAAAAGTGTCCGTAAGTAGAACTGAACGTTTATATTACGAGGGTGTCCGGTGGCAGATGATTGACTGTGTTCCACTTGTTTCGTTGTCTCGTTCGGCCAAAGGTTATTTAATTAATGTTAGTAAAGCTGCACTAATCAGTCACCAGTCATGTCAAACGGTAAATAAAGTTAAACTATCACTGGAGTGTGTTGCCGTGGGTGTACTTCATGGATTGCAAACATCCATACGAGAAATGAAGATAAGATACACTTGACACTTACAAATTTCTCACATCTCTTGTAATTTTGTATCAGTCAGCGTTGAAATACTCTTGAAATAATGTGCGATAGCGATGTATACCTACCTTCAGCAAGCTCTGCCGATAGCTTTGACACTCCGTACTCAAGTAGTAAAGAGGAAATGGAAGTTTGGAGTACTATTCAGCCCTACGAAGGAGAACCGCGTGAATCAAACGAAGATTTCGACCAAGACTGACCGAGACGGTTTCTCGCGTGCGGTGTTCAGGTCAAGATTAGAACAGAAAACTCCCGTTATTGAACGTTTAGCTTGCTACGTTTGTGTTTTGTTTTCTATGGCGATGTCTATGTTAAGAATGGGTAGCTGTGTTTCTTTTAATTTTCTGTTGACATAACGTTTTATTCCTTCGCACTAAGTGCGGCGAAGGTTCCCTTTGGTCAATGCTCTTGAGTTTCGTTGAGTAATTCTTTCAGAAAACCACAATCTAACTTTTGACGAAAGAATCGACTGTATCACGAGACACAATGATTTTTCGCCAAGAGGTCATTGAGCGGTTTCACTGCAAGTTGCTCCCTTCCCTTGAGATTGCGAAGGCAGAGGCTATCGTCGTCGAGCCGATCAAACGGAAAACGAGTGAGTTTATAGTCATCTGATTCAAGTTAATCTCCAATAGAGATTTTACCAAAGAAAAACTTTTTTGAGTTTAAGTGCAGCATTGGCATATAACCCATTCCGCTTAATGACAAGTAACTGACATTAGCATTGTGAAAGAATATTTCGCATGCATCGATTTTCACACTTAGATTCGCTACCATCTAATTCAATAAAATTTGCGAATGTTTCTTCATTTGTCTCGTTACAGTGCTGTTATCACAATGACATTGCTACTGTTGCTATTTTTAGTTCCTTGAGGGCAAGGAGGGATTGATGGCTCGTGGGATGCATTTTCGGAAACTTAGGTGAGAAGAATACACGGCCTTCGAGCTTGTGTTTGTACCAATAGCCACCAGAGGTTTCGCTCTGTTCACGCAACGGGATATCGATCTATTCAGGAAAGGGCTTTAACTTTGTCACAAACAATGTATTTCTAGTAACAAAATACGATTGAAACTACAACTGGCAGCATTTTCGTACAATAAGAAAAGCACAAATGTAGTCATGTGGAAAGACAAGGAGTATAAGTACATCTCAAGCGCGTGAAATAGACAACAATAGGCTCACCATTCTACGCTCGCGACATGCCAGCCGTAAAGAATGTTGAACAATCGTTTACAGTGTGGAAACAGACTCCTTAATCAGCATTCTTTTGAGCTGAATTAATTGGTTATCTTTCCCTGATTTTTCTGGTGGTATGTGTTCATAACAGACTTCTTCGACGCCGGTAGGGAGCATAAGGCTGACTACCATAGTTTCCGACGTGTCTTCACAGTTTTCTACGTCACAACGATGTAAAATGATCGTTTTGGCCGCGCGCTTAATGGGGACACCTTTTGGCCACCAAATCGTACTTTCAATGCACAACAAAATGGTCAAGGAGAACTAGCTAGGCGCTTAGGTCAACTATTTCTAATTTTGAATACCGCTATCAAGCAAAAAATGCCCAAAAAATTTCAAACTATAAACTGTAGACGGCAGACTATGTAAAAAATGCAGACTGCAGACCGGGTACAAAATACAAACTGTAGACTGCAGACTTGGTATAAAATGCGCGCAGACTGCGAATTTATACTGTTTTGTTACGTCTGATAAGTAATCACATGTCATCTTACAACTTACCGAGCGTCACGAAATCACTTTTCCGCGATCATCTTTCCCGATTATTTGCACTATTGTGGAATATTCCTTGCCCGTTTCTTGATCACAATCGTTCTTAATATTATTTCAAGCCTTCATGTAGTCTTCTCACTTTGCGGGTAAAATTTCCGCACAGCCCCATAATTCATTATGTATTCACCTCTTGGATAGAGAAAACAGTGACCAAAACAATACATTGCCATTGGGAAAACAGATTTGTTTCACAATAGTATGGGCCTATGCGGAAATTTTACCATCCGGTTTTTGTCAATTTGATCATTGAAAAACGTACAATCTTATGGGTAATATATGATGGTGATAACTTTCAAATGCTTCCAATCTTCTCTGCTGTACTGTCCTGTTATGCAAAACTTCATACGAAGCCCATCGCGCAACACATGCAGAGAAGGCGTTGTGTGACGGGCTAACACGATGTCTGTGATTGAGAGATGGCACTAACTTCAAATGTATCTTATCTCGTAAATTCCTTCTCATAGAGATACATCTTCCCTTGTCCTAAATAACGATGATAAACGTTCAACTGTAGTTGTTCCTCAATCACTTTTTCGTGAGTTCTGTCCACCTCTTGTCCTGAAAACAAACAAAAAAAATCGCTTTTGATGAATTCACATGCACGGTTGAGTTGATGTAAAAGATGTGCCTCAAAAAGAGTAGGGTCACCTGAGTAAATCGCAGTTCGCCAATCTAAGAACTTCTCTGTCGGTAAATAAGTTCCAAAACTGATCGATCGTTGAATGGAATCGTCCACAAAATCTTCGGCAAAAAGTTCGTTGCAATCTTCCAAAATATGGTCGATATTAGATCGAAGAGGTTCGAAAGGAACCCAGTTAAAGAGAATTATGTCTTCTGGAAATAGTTGTGTTCTTTCAGTACTTGAAAGAATAACATCGGAGATATATTTTCGCGAGCATGGTTTTATCACGATCGATTTTTTCATAGCAGCTAAGGCTTGGCTGCAAGATTTTAACTTGACCTCATATTCAAGAATATTAAATTCCAAGAGTTTTCTATGATACTGACAATTCACACTGCCATTGGTAGACGTAAATCGTACTCGTTTGAGGTTTGGAAAGCGCTGTTTCGCATGGTTTCTTGCATATTCCTTGAGCTTTCTGACAAGGCCCTGGCCACGAAGATCTTGATGAATACGTTCAAAGCGGCGGACAAATGTTTGACGATCATCGACAATGAAGTATGCAATTAAACCAATTAGTTTGTTGTCACTAGATTGAGCCAGAATGACGGCCATATTGTTCGTCCGAAGCCACTTGTGAAACATCAATGGTAGCGAGTCGTGTCCTTGGTAGATTCCCTCCGAAAGTGTAACGATTTCGTCGAGATCGTCTGGCTCAGCCAAACGAAATGTTATGGCATCCATTGCAGAGACGATTCTCAGGATTACAAGCGACTTTTGATTTAGGAATAGCTCATTTCAGAGTTCATCATGACTGGAGACTGGTGCTAAAATAAATGCGAGAGCGAGGCTTTGCGCGAAATTACCCTCAGAGGCGCGAAAAAAAAAATACTCTCAAGGGTTTATACAGCAGTTGTATAATAAGCAGTAAACGCGGCACGGTTAATGGTTGTGACAAAATCCTACTTGTTTCAGTGAAAGACAAACGCAGGAGTACCAGAAACGACTTTCTGAATCGTTTGGTTTTCTTTTCAAATATGATAGACTATTCCAGTTACATAACTTGTAAATAACTAATCGTCAATTGAACAAGGCATGAACATATTAATTTATTTACTTCACATGTTAAGTCCTTTACCGGTCGTAAGGTACCCAATTTAATTTTACTGTTCTGCAGTTGTTCTGGAGAGTGAAGTGTCTTGCCAAAGCTATGGGTTAATGCTTCGTATTTCGGAAAACGGAGCATTAAACTATACCCAGGAACCAATCCTGAACCTAAGGCCATTATTTCAAAATCGAAATCGAATGTAGTAGTGCTGGTCATATCTCATAAACTAGCTCACATTTCGTTTCTTCCCTTGATGTTTTATAGCTTTAATTTCAAAATTAGTGCCTTCTCGATCATGAATGGGATTGTGACAAACAACAAAGATGAACTTTCTTTGGACAAATAACTACCGAGACCTTGGAGAAACAGGCATAGGAACCCTTCGATTCGGACTCTAAAACGCAATACTGTTTGCTGAATCCGTATCCTACATAATCAAGCTTAAGCCAGTAAGAAGGAAAGAATGAGCTCGGGCATCATCCTCAAAGCAATGAACATATTCATACAAAGGTTTGATCCACCGGTGATCCATTTCACCCAAAAATAATGCCCTATAAGAGATCAAAGATCTCTGATGTTTGTCATCCCAGGGGCTTTCATAGTCTTTCCTACTCGGCGGCAACAACTGGATTAGCTAGCCAATGACCAGGGATACTCTCTCTCCCCTCCCCCCTCCCCCTTACCCCCTCCCCCTTCCCGTCGTGGACAGGAGATTCATCATAAAACGTGCTTTCTATTCTCTGGCTGTTGATATTTGGCACTCAGGCGATTCAATTTTTTTTTTTTTGGATAGAAATGATTTATAGAAGATGTTTTCGCATTAATAATAGAGAAAGGTGATCCATATTATCTGTAAAGCCGTCACAATCTCTACAATGAATGCAAATGAAGACTTATGAATTTTGCATTGTGTACATCTATGAATTATGATAAGCGCATCTATCCCAGTGTCAGAAAAATAGACGGAGAGGAAAGAGAGGGAAAAAAATATCGAGCTCAAAAATACCGTTTCCTGTGGAAAAACAGTTTCAGTAACTGAACAAAAAGAAAAAAAAAACTGAAATAATCTGACTGATTTTTTTTTTGCTTAAATTGTGCTTAAATAATGCTTCGAAGGCATTTGCCAAGAATCTACAATCAAACGCATTCGAAAGCAAAACAAAATCTAAAATTTAAATATTGCCTAACCTCAAAATTTCAAAACGTTTATTAACAATAGAGTGCGCAGATAGAATCTATAATGAAACCTAGAACACTCCTCAGAGCTCACTCTCATTTCATTGTGAGGACTTGAATAATTCACAAGTCTTTTGAAAACTTCCTTTTATCGACAACGCGATAACAATCATTTTGCAGCTCGCTAAAAAATACCTTCTGTACTCTCTTGTCACTTTGTTGAACCTTGCAAGATTCTCCCCGTCTATACATTTGGCGTAATTTCACGGTTCTTATGCCATTAATCATAACGGCAACACATGAACGCAATACCAAGGAAAGCGAGAAAAGAAAAACCATGACTTTTGTCAAAACCTAGTTCACAATATTTTGAAATCCTTTCAGAGAAGTCCTCGACAAAATTTCAAAGTATGTTTTTATTTATTTCAAAAATCATAATGGAACATAGGTACACCACACCGAGGAATCAAAAACCGAAAAACCATGGCTGTTGTCAAAACCTTGTAGGCAATAAGTGAAATCCTTTCAGAGAAGTCCTCGCCAAAATTTCAAAGTATTTTTCTATTTATTTCAAAAATCTTAATGGCAACATGGTACACCCCACCGATGAAAGCGAAAGAAGGAAAACCATGGTTGTTGTCAAAACCTTGTTGGCAATAATTGAAATCCTTTCAGAGAAGTCCTCGCCAAAATTTCAAAGTATTTTTCTATTTATTTCAAAAATCATAATGTCAACATAGGTACACCACACGATGAAAGCGAAAAAAGTAAAACCATGGTTGTTGTCAAAACCTTGTAGGCAATAATTGAAATCCTTTCAGAGAAGTCCTTGCCAAATTTTCAAAGTACATTTTTAGAAAACGATACGAACCGCAGTTATAGGTCGAGGGATTAATTTTTTTTACATAAGAATAACTTTCGCAAAGGGGTTTGATTTCTGATCTTAATCGATTTTAGAAGAAACCTTTTATTTTTAAATGCTTTCACTAACTGTCCATAACTCTCCAATAAGTGAGTTTTCCAATAAGTGAGTTTTATCTCACAGTTTAGGTTTTGAAGGTCTACCATAGCAATGCATAAATTTTACCCGCGAACTCAAATGTTTGCCGTTTGGCAAGAGAAAATTACAGTACGCCTTTGTTTCTCAATAATCGCAGTCCTAGTCCATAGGAAGATATGATGGTTCGAACTAAACACAATACGAATGAAGTTTTAGAGTTTAAACATACAGTATAAAAGAAAACAACAACTTTTGAGTTCATTTAAGCTGGAGTGTTGATCGCGAGACTGTTAAGAGGGTATTATCAAGGTTGTCAGAGTTTTCGTCGTTGTCCATGGTAAACCATTTATTTCTCATAAAAAAAAAACACAACAACAACAACAAAGCAACAAACAAACAAAAAGCAGCGCCAAAAAAGATTAATTTTTTGAAAGATCTTTCAGAGCCGTTTTAACTCGCATCAATCTCAAAAAAAACTATATACCATTGGAGAGCCATTAAATAGGAATTCAAACAACATTTTCACCGTTTTGTCTCGGTAACAAAAGTCCCTTCGAGCAGCAAATCAGTTAAAGGCTATTGTTTACCTATTGTGGTCTCTCGTTGGCCCAATCACTTGAAATACCACAGGCTTCTACTCGTGGAATAATATTTATTGTCTCAACTTTTAAAGCATCCTAGTCACACCAAACGCATTTGAGATGGAAGAACTCAGTTTTCGCCTGGCGAGGCTCAGTGATTTTGATGAGATTGTAAGTTTATCCAAAGGAATTTATAAAGGGCACGACTACCTACCTATTGAGTTTCACAAATGGATGAAGATGGAAAACATGGCAATCATGTTGGTTCTTTCTGGTGACAAAATAGTTGGTTCAAGAGCCGCTTATATCATAGATGACGGGAAGACGTACATTAGAAGAGCTGGGCGCGTCCTTCCAGAGTTCCGTAAACAAGGAATCAGCCAAAAGCTCTCGGATGCATTGGATGAATATGTGCGCTTTAGCTTCCCAACTGTTGAGCGAATGCGTTTCGTGTCAAAATATAACAAATTTAGCGACAGTTTGAGATTAAAGAAAATTCTACAATTTGAAGTCTTGTCCTATGACATTGACGAAGAGGAGTACCGTGAATCCCAAACATGGAATGAAGAATCAACTGAGATTGCCACTTGTACTAAAGATTACATTTCAAATGTTTTGTTTTCTAGTCGTGTGGTCGAACTATTGTTTCCAGACAATATTCTCCTGTATGATCGAGTGCCCGTCGAGCCTTGTAGTTCAAACTTTGAGCATATTGTGCAAGAGTTTGACAGTCTCACATTTTGCACAGAGAAGAACCCAGCCAGCTCTTCGCCTAAATCGTTCAGCTTCGGCGGTGTCGCTCAAAGAGTTGAATATGTTCACTGGACAACTTATATTTACACCAGAGACGTGAGCCTGTACAAAGAGCATTTGATGTTCCAATTCAAACTTGCTTGCAAATCTATCAAAAGTCGTTTCATATTCGTTTCATCAGTAATGAGTGAAAGTATGAGCGCGCAGGGAAGGAGTTTGATGGAAGAGAAATTAAATCTGAAAGTGTCAGACAATATCAGCGAGAAGAGATTGAATATGTATGAGTTGGATTTAGTACAACAGAACGTCACTGAAATTTAGGAAAAACCTTCACTCGCGATGAAATTGAGCGTGAGGAAACATGTAGCAAAAACACCAGAACTAAATGATTATGATGACTGAAATTTTTATGACTAACGGCATCTGATTAACCGAAGGCAAATAGTATTAGCCTCCTTCATAGAAACTTAGATTTAGCTCAAATTAAGATTCAGAAAGGTTACAGCAAATATATAAGTATAGAAAAAAAATCCTTTTGTTTTTCTCGAACTTTTGTTTTGTGACATAAAAAGATATCCAGATTTTTTAATACCTCACAAGTGTTCGATTTTCTGCTGAACAGCACGCCTATTTGAGCTTGTAGAGTGAAGTTCATGTTGTGATTACAACATGTTTACTGTTCGACGTCAAACGAATTTTGCGGTTTTCATCAGCTTGTAGAAGACAAATATTGTTTGGATTTAATGCAAAAAACTGATAAGGAAATTCAACAAGGACATGTTTATTTATTTTCATACCAAGTTATGGTATCTTAACGTACTTTATTTATTCAAGAGGAAAGCATTTTATTTATTTCCCTCAACAGTGGTAATTTGCGACGAAAGTACCACGAGGGAAGGCTTTCAGCTCAGTATTCCAATAGATTCTGATTTCTTTTGTTGTCGGGAAAGAAATTTCAATAATTGCACAAATTAAGTGGCATTGAATACCCAATAAATAAATGATGAATCGCGTGTCACCAGCTGAAGCCATCTAAAATATTTATCCTCAACGTTATTAATTGAACGTTATTTCTGTTCTATTCTTTCCCCATAAACTGAAGTTGGTCAAAATATATCAACGTGGTATTTTCTTTATGATGTTTTCCCGACCGTACCGACCGAACCATACTTTGCCTTCAGAAGTTTAATAATCTATAAACGCGTCGTCATTAACATTACATTAGCGCCTCTATGAACAGTTTACCACAATCAGTAAGCCGGCTGTGCAACAACTATCTGGATTCTTTTCTAGATCTCACTCTGAATCCATGCAATCTTCTCTTTAGCTCAAAATATACTTGCCCATCGGGCAGAATGCCAATACTGTTCTCGCAACATTCAATTGCATAAATGAAAGTCTGACATAGCATGGGGAATATAGAGGCATTTCAGGGTAGATGTCTTTGATACAGAGCGCTGCCCGATAAGGGGTGTAGCTTTCGAGAATGTTCACTAAATATTCTGTATTGAAGCCGGCGAATAAACCCTCCGTGGCCTTCAATTTTAATGACAAAAACAGAAGTTACAGGGCATGCGTGTTTATGAATACGTCAGAGGGGATTTCACTAGTCTTTAAAACATAGGGGTCTCACAGCCCTTATTCCTTAATTGTAAGAGGAATTGATGAATGAATTACCTAAGGAAAAATTTATGATCTCTTTCTCTGGAGATTTGCATAATTCAGAATTGACTACCTGGCATTATGCCTTGACTTGTGAGCCAACTTTGTCTTTTCCGAATTTTAATGCCAATGTTTATTACCGTAAATAAATTATGGCTGCACCCTCTAACTGTCTGTAGATCGAACCGTTATACTGTAAGTATGTTGATCTCAATACGAAGTCTGTGAAGTCCGCTATCTGAGCAGGTGTTAGTGTCGTGCGGTCTGCAGGGCTTGCATCACTCTCTAACTTTTGTCGTGCGGCTTCTATAGTACCCTTGATTGGGACGTTGGTGAACAATGACTCCACGTCGAAGGACACCATGATTTCGTGGTCCTGAATCTTCTCGCTGCTGATGGTGGAAGGAAAGTGAGCTGAGTTGGTCACCGTAAAATCTGAATTTCCTGTTAGCTAAGAAAGCAGACAAGTCATACGCAAGAGTTGTTATGCAAGAAACAGTAGGCCGCAATTGTACATTAGCCTTGTAACCATAGATTCTAGGTGATTGTTTGTGTTGCAGTTTGATCTTCTTATAAACAGCCTCTGATGTGTGCCCGTTCCGTTTTAAGGACAGACAGTTTGCGAGTCAGACGGTCTGTCGGATCTTTTAGCGCTGTCTTCTTAGCATAATATGTGACAGTGTCGAGGACTGTGCTAACACGATCCTTATCCGCCGGGAGGATCTAGATGGAGTTGTCTTCTTTAAGGCTCTTAAGGGCGTCGCATAGTTCTGTCGTGATGTTCGGCTTTGGTGGGTCTGCGTGTTGAAGGATATTGTTGAAGGCTCCTTGTTCCGCATTGAGCGGTCTTACTGCTGATTCAACATTAGCGATGATCTCGGTAGCTGGGATGTTTGCAGGAGTCACGGAAAACTTACATTTTTTCTTTAACAGGGACACCTCAACATCGCTAAAACCAGTACTCACGGCAACAATGGGAATCGACATCCGCCAATCGCGTTAGATCGCCGTGATACAAAAGGTAACGCGTGAGCAGTCGCCCAAATCGCCTGATGAAGACTAGCATTAATCAATTGAAACGTCATGATCTACATCTCAAGTGACTACCTCGATCGTGAGACAAAAGATTAAACAGTTTATAAAAGTTTATACTGTCAGCCCGAAAGCACGCTGCTAGTCATTAGAACGTCCGCACATGCGCATACGTTTGAGCGTTGTTTGGACAGGACTAAATTTTTCCTGTATGGATACAAGTAGAGATTTTGCACCGCCACACAGGGTGACAAAAGGTGACAAAAGGTGACAAAACGACGATGGCTCTCCCAGTGTCGCCTTATATCTGTTGCGTGACGATAAAAAAAACTGAAAACTTTTTGTTTGCCCAGCGACAGAATCTTAACTTACTTCGCGGCCTCTTGTCCAAAGGCAAATAGCAACAGGTGACTTCTAATAAGCAACTAAAACCACTTGATCGCCATTATTTTTCAAGCCGCCAAGCAAGCGTGACTTCGCTCGCGTGTCTTCGCCCTTGTGCTTTATTTCGGCACCAGCCTCCTATCATGCGGAAATTTTGAGTATTTATAATTAGACAGTAATTGGAATAGTCACGGAATTTTAGAGAGGAATCTAAGGGTTGCGTGTGTAAGTCGTCTCTACAATGGACGCTATAACATTCCGCTTGGCAGAGCCTGACGACTTCGATGAAATCGTTAAACTTTCTAAAGGAATCTATGAAGGACACGACTATCTACCGTTAAAGTTTCACAAGTGGCTTCAAACAAACAATATGGCCGTCATTCTGGCTCATTCCAGCGACAACAAACTGATTGGTTTAGTGGCATACTCCATTGTCGACGATCATCAAACATTTGTTCGCCGCGCAGAACGCATTCATCAAGATCTTCGTGGCCAGGGTCTTGTCAGAAAGCTCAGGGAATATGCGAGAAACCATGCCAGACAGCGCTTTCCAAACCTAACACGAGTACGATTTACGACCACAAGTGAGAATGTGAATTCTCAGCATCATAGAAAACTCCAGGAATGGAATATTCTTGCATATGAGGTTGAGATAAAATACTGCAGGCAGGCGCCAGCGCCCATGAAAAAATCGGTCGAGATCAAATCATACTCACGTGAATATTTCACGGATATTATTCTTTCTAGCCTCGGAAGAGCAAAACTTTTTCCTCGAGATGTCATCGTCGTGAATTATTTTCCTTTTGAACCTCTCCGATCGAATATCGATCAAATTTTGGAAGATAGAAACGAACTTTTTGGCGAAGATTGCGGCGATGATTCTATGCCTCGATCGTTCAGTTTTGGAACTTATTTGCCGACAGAGAAGTTCTTAGATTGGCAAGCTGTGATTTATACAGATGACCCTGCTCTTTATGAAGCTCATCTTTTATGTCAATTCAAGCGTGCATGCGAATTCATTAGTAGCGATTTTGTTTTCGTGTCTCTTCATGACAAGAGCTGGACTGAACTCACTAAAAACGTGATGGAGGAACAACTACAGTTAAAAGTTCATGGATTAAAAGGGATGATGTATCTATATGAGAAAGATTTAACGAGCTAAAACGCTTTTGAATAAGTGTTAAATTTAGCCATCCCTTCCCAGATATTGTATTTGACCGTCACGCGACGCATAAATAATTGCATGTGTCACGAAATGAGCTAGGATGAAAATTAGAACCCAAAGCCGAATAGGAGACGTGGGTTTAGTTAAATTTTTTTTTAGGTATCGAAATTAAGGAAGTGTGTCTTAGTGAACACGGTTTAGCTCTTTTGGCCCTAATGTTATTAATAACCTTCACCGATTAGTTGGTTGTCAAGCGTGTAAGTCATGTAGAAGCCAGACGTTTCACGGCCAAATGGTTACAAGACACATCAGTTGCAATTACACGGTTAGAACAGATTCGAGATTAGCTTGTAAGTATAAAGGAACTGAAAACCGGATCCAATAGAAAGGATTTATTTGTAGGAGATATGACACTAAAATACTCATTCTCAGCACGTTTGTTCGACTTTCTGTCCTTAAATTAAGTTTGTATTCATTCGCTCTTTCCTTAAGTGTTATTTAGTATTTAACACAAAGGTGAAAAATGCTTTTTGCGCGCGCTGATTGGGTTGGTCAGAAGTGAACAGCAAGTTCTATTCACCTCCTAGCAGCCGATGAGTTAAAATCGCCCACAAGAGTTTAATTACCAACGGTATATTAAAAGAATAAACCATTTGTTTTTGTATCTGTGTGGTATATACTAATAGGTGAAAAGTATCACGACAGTAGCTGAATAGGAAAATTATTGATGGAAGTTGTTTGAGCCAATCTCAAGTTCCTACGTTTGTCATCTATCGCTTAAGGGAGGTTGAGGTGGGGGGAGGTCGATGACGTTTTACCAGGTCCCTACATAAGGCTTTGTTATAATCGTTATGATCCCCCTTAAGTGGGAACTAATTAGTAGTCAATTATCTATATTTTCTCCCCTTTGACTTTACTGGCGATTACTGACCCCCTCCGTTCCACCTAAAAACCACGCGATCCTCTCCTCCCCCCCCAAAAAAAAAAAAAAAAAAAATTCCTCCTATTCCCCTCCCTCAAGCGATAATCGAAGTTCATGGGAAAGGCTGTTCCACAACATAGCACCTTTTTAGGAAGAACGTTTCTTTAAATAATTGACGCGGGGTTGTGGACGAGCCATTTTATTTTCAGAATTCCTCAGTTGGTTCGCAGTAATATGTAATATCATTTCGATATTCCAATCGAAATTATAGCTATTTAGGAGTAAATCCATGTAAAGTTTTGTGCATTATAACAAAGAGGAACATAGGAATAGGAACATCAAAAGGAACCGGATGCCTTATTCTTTTAATTTCACCCAAGGCAGAGGCAATCTTTTTACAAATACTCTGTGTATGACGATCCCATTTTAAGTTTTGATCAATATGTAACCCTAGAGATTTCTTGGAGGCAATGGTCATTTATCGTGAAATCAAAGATGGAATCTCAGAATTACGGCAGTTGATAGCCTCTGCCTAGACGCAATTCATATAAATTAATTAGGTTTTGGTTAAGTTAAGGGTGATTTTTTTTAGCGGATAGCCAGAATTACATTTAAATCGTAATCAAGACAATCGTCATTGCACGTTTACAGAACTGCTTAAGTATACATAAGAATATATTAAATTGTTGTCATCTTAATACATTCTAGATTGTGAAAAAAGTGTGAAATTTAGAAATAAACACCTACAAGGGTTTAATGTTTTATAATTGATGGCACACAAAGGTTTAATGTTTTAAATTGATGGCCTAATCTCTATCTTATCTTCATTTGTTGTATGGATGTTTACAACCCATGAAGAACACCCACGGCAACACACTTCAGTGATAGTTTAGCTTTATTTACCGTTTGACATGACTGGTGACTGATTAGTGCAGCTTTACTAACATTAAATGACCTTTGGCCGAACGAGACAACGAAACAAGGTGTGCGCAGTTAATCATCCGCCACTATACACTTTCGTAATATAAACGTTCAGCTCTACTTACGGACACTTTTTTTAATGCCCGTTTTGCCTCCCAGTCCAACTATGTATTTAACATTCCCGTAAGCGACACACTCTCGCAAATGAACACTTTTGAAAACAGAAATTGGAGTTTTCTTCTCTTTACGTTCTATCGGATGCTACCCAATTCTTGTTTGATGTCCGCTTATCAGAAATTCTACTAACAGACACTTTTTCCCGAGGGCGTCTGGTTACGAGAGTTTACTGTATTATCAAACTCCTTTATCGGGTTGCTGTCGACCAGGTTTGGAACGATGGCATGTTACATAAATAAAGGCAAACACCTAATGTGAGTGTAGAGGTTCGAAAGGTGAATTATTTTAGACATAATCATCCATGTTAAGACAATATTCAGGCCATCGACTAAAAAATATATATTTGTTCAGCATTGCTTTCCACCTGATTACATATCTCATTAAATTTACGCCGGACCAATCCTAAAAGAGCTGAATATACAACAAAATTACGGACGATAATGTTTCTCAGACGATCTCTTATAGGTGGTCCGATTCGTTTGAAGTTGAGTCTTTTTCACAATGAAAAGATTCTGTGTCTCTTTGATTTTGTTAGTCTCCCTTTTCGACGGAATGCTGCGAAGTGTAGCTGGTGAAGATTTTTGCTCTAACGAGGTAAAATTTGATTTTACAACTATGTCAAGTTCTCTAACAGAGGACAGTGATTATCTGAGTAATTCTCTTTTTCTACCGCAATGATGTATTGCCGTGGCCTTGAACAGGCTCTAAGCTTAATCTTGCTTGTCAGCATCCAGAAAAGTTTAATAAAATTGAGAAACTATCATGCAGATATCGTGGATGTAGAGATGATTTAAATCAAATTCATGTTAGGAGTCCGTCGTTATTTAGCAGCTGAGGTACACGTAAGAGAGGGGAAGAAGGAGTCGGAAGACTTCTGGCGGGATTTGCACGGGTTTCAGTTGGAACAGTGGGGGATCAGTCGTCATCAGCAGAGTATAAAGGGGACTATAGAAGGTTGACTGCCCCAGCAAGGTGATGAATATATAATGACCACTCGCTCAAATCTATCATGAGCAGGCAGAGAAATTTGAAAATAATTTTAGTTGATATTTGAGTGGTTCACAGTTAGATCTTGGTAAAGAAATGTTAAAATTAAACAGTAGGATTTTAGTTTTAAAGCAATTCTTGAGTTTTATAGACATGCATGTTCCACTTTTTTCTTCAATCCAGGATGAAGACTTATCGTTTGAAACAATACCTTGTACTGCGGTTAGGACAGGAATGGTGCGCTCCACTGAAGGTCAAAAATTTCTAAGCCTTTGCCTCAACAACCAATGGAAGCCATATTACCCCCTAGGAAGCCCTGTTAAGGGTTGCTATAACAACCGTATTCCTGGTCTGATTGGTCATTGGCGCATGAACGAGCAGACTGGAGACGAGGTGGCTGATGACTCGGGTTATGAGAACCACGGCTCGGCTGATGTCCCAGTGCCTAAGTTATCCAAGTTCACACGTGGTCGCCATTTTGACTCCAGTGGACTCATCTCCGTCCCAAACTCCCCGGTATTGAATTTGGGGGTGTCAAGCTTCACCGTGACTGGATGGACAAAGATTTTGGACGTCACCTACCCTCTGACAACCTTCGCTGTCCAGAAGGGTTATGGCTGTTATTTTCACCCAGACCGTCCGGGCGCGAAAGCCGGTTGGGAAATAGGACACGGTTACAATGCCAAAGGACTTGACGTTTGTATACGAGACAAAGAATTCAGAATGACTCGAAAGAAAATCGAGTTTGATGATGACTTTCAGCAACATCATCTTCTTGATCAGTGGGTTCATTATGCAGTTGTCTTTGATCGCCAACAGCAGAAGAAAGTCTTCCTTTACATCAACGGCAAAAAGCAGTCCAAGTACCTCGACATCTCAGCAGTACAAGGCAGCGTTGACAACACCAGACCTCTCATATTCGGTTACCTCTACGGCTGGAAAACTAAGGGAACTCTGGATGAATATCGAGTTTACAACAAGGCTTTAGACGACTTCGAGGTGGGGGCCATCTTCAAGAACCACCTTGTGTAACAAGCACTAAAAAGTTTTGCAAATTATACAAACTGTCTCCTCGTGATATGTTGGCAGAATAAAAAAATTGATGATAGTGATCTGATTGTGATGCATCGAATTGTTTAATTCAAATTAATTTCGAAATTTGCATCAAATTTTAGGAAATATACAGAAGGATGATTGTAGGGCTAATGTCAAAAAACTATTTTATTCCACGTTGTATCGTGGATGCTGCCTCTCCACACTCTAAATTCCCCTTCGTCTTCTTCTTCATGATCTCCTGTTTAGATCCCAGCTGATTCGTCTGAAACCAAATTGTCTATCACTTCTCTAGTTTCTTCAATCGAGCCGCACCTTCAATAGGAAATGCCATACGCACATTTTTTTGTGCGACTCCCTTACTTGCGTCACAATCTCAAACGCACTTGCCAATTTAACGGTGAAGTAACGACACCAACCAACTTATGAAGGGGTGGTTCTTGGTGAGGGAAGAAAGGACTGGGACTGAATTTCATTTTAACAGCTGCTCTACGAAACGCTTTTCCTAAATATTTCGGACATGTTTCGCCAAATTTTGTTGGAGCGGGAATGGAAAATGTGAAGACGTAATTTGTTTTTAAATCATGAATTTTAAAAAGATGTTTTTTCCCCATAAAATTTGAGCATCTACATGGAGTACTTTTAAATGGCGAAACAGTGCTCCAAAATTTGAATTAACAGTTCCTTTAAAAATTTTTCCCTTTTTTCATCAGTGGAAATGTAGTTGGCTGAGCAGTTTCGCATATTTCTCGCAAACCGTTTAAATTTTGTCTATAGGATTTTCTAGGCGCTGCAAATCTTCAAATTTTCGCTCTTTCCTGCCTCCGCTGCTAAATGTTTTTTGTGCCCGGCGACAGAATTTCACCCAACTTCCAAGCCTATTGCTAGAAGAAAAAAATAAAATATGACATCACTTCGATTGTGATTCCCGTTATTGCAACGGGCGACCGAGTGATAGACCACTTTATAAACATCAAAATATTCGAAGCAGAGTGATCCAATCAGGAGAGAACTCGGAAATGAGCTATTCGTAACTCAACAGTCACTGGAATTCACGGAATTGTCCGTGTTTTTCCATAACAAGTGGTGGACTGAACTCACGAAAAAAGTGATGGAGGAACAAATGCTGCTGCAATTTCATCGACATTTTATAGGAGAAAGGAAAAGGTCTCTCTTTGTGAGGATTTTGCAAGCTGATACCTTCCTTTTCTTAGTTTCGGAACACTTCGTTTTTTTACTTTGTATTAATGTTTTGTTTTTCTTGACCTGTAAGGGAAAATGTCGAACAAATCTCAAAGCACTAAGGGGACCAAGCTACGAGTCTGCACAGATAATAATAACTTTGTATTAATGTTTTGTTTTGGTTCATGCCTTGTTAGTTAATGGTTATGTCTTAACAAATGTGTCAAATCTCTATCAGCAGATCAGTATTTGTATAGCTTCACCAGTAATCGGATCTTTGTGTTTCCGCAATGAGCATGGACAATTAACATGTATATTAACATTGGATTCATCGTAACCGTTGCAATTTCCTCAATGTGATTGGTGCATTTGCTGCATATTTTTTCACTAATCACTGTGTACAGTTGTAATCGAACAGTGTAATCGGACAGTTGGCTGTAATTGGACACGTGTAATCGGACAGTTGAAGTAACCAATCATAAATCAGCGAAATCCACCAATAATAGAATTAATCACAATAACCACAGCAACAACCACTGATCCCGAAACAAAAGGGGAAATTCCAAAATAGAGGAATTTTTTGCTTGAGACATTGTCTCTACCGGAGATATTTGCCCTAAATGTAGGTGTTCCTTTTTTGTTCGGAAATTGTAACGGTTATGATTAATTTGTAACAAGACTTCGTGTCGTCCGATTTTGTTAATCACTCGTATTATTACAGACCAAATTGGAATCCACTTGGTCCTATTACCATTATTAATCAGCTATGCTGGCTCTAAGCACTCCCATCGGTCAAAGTCCGTCTATTCCATCCGTTCAAAATAAATAGGCCGCCAGTTCAGCTCTATCTGCACGAGTAAAACCTACAGCGATAAGAGCAATTTTATAAAGAAAGGCTACGAGCCTGGAAAATCGACAGGCGTTACAGATGGAAGAGCTCGCTGTTTGAATGAAAAAGAGAGCAGTCTAGAGCTTAAAACAGAAATCGCGAAAGCCCAAGCAGAAGAATCTGTGTACATCCAAGCCGGAAACACTATTGAAGATTCGGCGGTATCGATACTGTAATGAGTGGGTGTTGTCACTATTAAACCATGCTGGCTCCTCAATACAAATAAATTCTCTCAAACTCTCCAACTATATGAGAGATTACACAAATTTTATTCTCATTTTATCGATGCACGAAATTACACATGAATAAAGTTAACTTTGAAACTCTTTACGGTGGCTAATTTACATTATCAACTCAGTTGATACAATCAGAATTATCTAAGTAATTACAAAATTACATCTAGTTATTAGTAATATTTAATATCTGTCACTCATATAAAGCTTCGCTAACTCTGAAACTCCCATGAGTGACCAAGAGAGAGTTTCTCCTTACTATATCAATACAAAACCAAGCAGACAAGTGATGAGAATAGGAAAAATGTCAATTAGGGACTTAAAATTTGATCCAATATCAAATTCTCTGTGCTAACATCATAAGAATCGAGTAGCAGGCAGTAAAAAGAATTACAAATGAGATCTTGGGAGGTAAAGGGTTAATTCCAATAAACTGTAAATAAAAACTTAAACTCAAAATGTGGCTATTAAAGAATATTGAAGGTATCCTTTACATAGAAAACATAAATATAAACCTTTTCTTACAGAACTAGAGCGATTTCCTTTTAACTTCTCAATGACTGGTACAAAAATCTGAGATTTCAAGTCTGAACTAATTGGATGTAAAAACCGTTTTGAAGTACCAGGCTTGCCTGAGATTTTCACCTTAACCAAGAGGCTCTGCCCCACCATTCCCCAGTAAACTTCATTCTTTTAACTTGATTATATAGCCACATTTGTCCTTTAAGTTGCCATTTTACGAATATATATTTGAAATACGGAAATCTAACTTATCAATTTTTATAGTTATTATAGTTTACTCAAATATCTGAATACGATTGTTGCCCATATCGGTGACAACAATTCGCCCAGAAGCAAGAACAGCCAGAGAAATTGGATAACTGAATTCTCCTATATTACCACCTCGAGTTCCAATATTACTGAAAAAACTTTCCATTCAGTTCAAATACTTGTATTCTATGATTATATGAGTCACATACCATCAGGTGTCCTGATTTGTTCACTGACAAACATGTGGGATAATTAAACTCCCCATTCCCTTCACCCTCCTTTCCAAACTTGTACTGAAGGTTTCCACTCCTGTCATAAACTTTAATACAATGTTGATATTGGACCGACACTATGAGATATTTATCGTACTGGACACAGTGGATAGGGAAAGTAAAAGCGCCATGTTCACCTATCTTTATTAGAAACGTGCCATCAGAAGAAAAGATCTTAATCATTTTTTTACCTGTATCAGCAACAATAACGTTTCCGTCGCTGTCTACCGATAAACCTCAAGGAAAATTGAGCTGATTATCAAGGTTTCCTTTCCCACCAAAACTGTCCACATTCTGACCCTCCCCCGTAAAAATTTGGATTCTGTGGTTATCCGGGTTCGCCACAAAAATATTCCCATTGTTATGAGATGCTATTCCCCTCGGATAGTTAAATTCTCCGGCCTTTCTACTTTCCCTACAAAATGATCGTAAATAATCTCCATTTCTGTCAAAAATTTGAATTCTGTGGTTGTGACAATCCGTGGCATTCACTGCTACCCCCCAAGGACAACGAAACATTCCTACAGAACCTTCTTTTCCGAAAGACAACACAGCTGTAAACTGAAATCGTTTTACCATTATGGTAAAAGGGCTGTTTTTAGCATGTTAAACCTTCCTAAATCTCTGGGAGAATAGCTGATGTGATAGAGTCCAACTCTACTGTCAACTATTTGCTCTTCCGTCACGCATTCTGGTCCTTGTTCGTTCATGATCTCCACCGTTGCGTGATCATCTTCATTGTAACATTGCCTTCCTTCTGCGTCTCTCGTAGTCAAGGTAAACTGCGCTATTTGGTTATCAAATCCTTCTTCGAGTCCTTCAACAACCAACTTGCTTGCTTTTGTTTGGTTTACTATTATTAAAGATCCAATTACTTCGCCTTCAACAATGTTCAACAGCTTTTCATTCTTCACAAAAGCTAAAAACGGAGGCTTTATTAGATCGAGGTCCACCGGTTGGTTTTGATCATCTCTCTGAAAAATTGTCTCTATTGATTTCATCAGTTGAACGACACCGGCGTTTGTACTTCGTATCATCAGTTTATCAGCTTTCTCCAACGATGATACGATTACCATAATTTGACCTTCGATCTCCTTTTTCTGTCCTGCAATAATTTTGAGCGATTTCCTCGTTTCTTTCTTCACTGCGTCATAAATGGCTTGTTTCTTTGCTCTGAACTTAAGTGAATTTGGCAATCTGTGGATCCGCCTACTTGGGCATAGCCACAAAGTGAGGCTTATGTGGCAGGAAGAGACCGGACTTAAATCGAAGAGGTACTGCGAGACTCGTTGGTGCCGGGGTGGGAAGTCTACAAACAACTCACGGAGCAGTTTGGTGACTTACAAGAATTCGTGGCTAATACTGAAAGAGGAAATGTTGCTCCCCAAATTTCACGTCAACTAGTCGACTTCCTGTCTGGTCTAGATAAAGTTCTGAGCCTTTAGCTTGAGCTAGCAGCTATCGTTCATGTGGGTGAACCTTTCGTCAAAGCCATTTACGTTTTAAAGGGAGATGGCCCACTAGTCTTCTCGTGCATCGAGAGATTACAAACGGTTGCGAATGCATGTCAGGTGCCACATTTCCGAAATGTCCACGCAGTAGCTGTCGCTATAGCGGCCGGAGATCCACAAAAAATGTTGCAGCATTGGAACAGGAAACCAAAAGGAGTGTCGAGCCTGGAATTCAGTGGTTTTTGCGAAA